AGGAATCCTCCCAGATTATGATCTGACCCCTTTTATTCCCAGAGGAAGCAAAGGAGGGAGTTTTTTTTTTACCTAAATTTGGACCTCCCTGCTTGGGCAAAAGAAACATAGCCTGGTCATAACCAAAGAATTGAAGAGGAACTTGGAGTTTGGGGTATGAAGAGCCTGAAATTTGTGCATTTTGTTCTCATTTTTTGTCACTGGCTCCCGAGGTGCAGCAGCTTTACCTGGGCACTCGTTTTACCTGGAATTAGTGATGGTTCAAAATACCCCCTTAATGCCAGCCTTGGTTAACAGGATTTTAGAGTTTCTGTTTATTGGAATTCTTGCTACTAATTTTAACTGTTTGCAAGAAGCTTTTACGTTCTGAAAATAACCCCCCTCTCCCCTCCCCAGTCCCAACATAAATAAGGGTAAATTTTCAGTTGCACTTCTGGGCATTTGTGCCTCTGAAGGTTCCACAAAACAGGACAAAAACACACCAATACTAAGTTTAGGCAAATATTTTCCATAGAACGCTGCCTCCAGTCTGAATTCCAGTAAATACATGACAGAACTTCCCAAAACAACATCTTCTTTAATTATCTGTGTTTCCCTGAAGAAACGGGAAGGTTTCCAGCTGGTTACTTGACCTGAGGATTTCCAGTGTCCTGTGTAGGAAATCATCCCTAATAGAGTGTTTTATTAACTTTTAATTCAATTCTTCTGTGTTTTATTGACACTCTCTTGTTCCTCCTACTCCTTCCTCAGCTTCCACGTGCCAGATCTGGAGTGTTTAAAGTGTGAGGAGCTCTCTGTGTGTTGCCACCACCTCTGAGAGCTTTCAGAGTCTCTGTAGAGGTTTGCTGTCTCCCCTCTGTCCCAGGGAAACCAGGGGACGAGCATAAAACCATGATAATAAAAGCCAAATATCTTGGGGGAGCTCTGGGGATGAGCTGTGGGGTTTTTTTGGTTGAATCTCATGACTTTGGAAATAATCTTACAAAAAGCGCTTGGGCCTGTTGGGGTTTGGTTCGAGTTGGCATCCCAGAACAGAGCTCTGGCGTTGGAAAACTTGCTGCTTTATTTCTCCACCTTTCCCAGAGAATCCAGGAGGAGCTGTGGGAGGCAGGGAACTGGGCATGGAAGTGTGGAAATGCTCTTTCCAGATAGGAAATAAGTGAAATTTTACGGAGTAGAACACCGGGGTCTGCTCAGACCCCCTTTTTGAGGGTCTGCTTTCCAGTCAGGCAGGGCTGGTAATTCCAGTTTGGGTAGATCTGGGGGGAAGCTGTGGTTTGGATGTTCCTTTGGAAGTTGTTCCTGCAGAGCTTTGGGGCACCAGTGGGTTGAGCTGCAGGAAGGACTTTGGTTTGTTCCAGCAGCTCCTTTGCCGTTCCGGTAACTGGGAAGGAAACTCCAGGCAGCTCTTTGTGGGACCTGGCAACCAGCAGAGCCCCGGGAATGCTGTGCCAACCTTCCAGCCCTGCTTCAGGAAGCCTTTGGCTGGAACAATAGTGGGGAGCAGGAGTGGGATTCCTGCCCCTGAGGGGTGTTTAAAGGGGCTTCGATCACTCACACGCATCCCCGGAGTTGTGCTGCTTCCCACCTGCACCTCTCCAGTGCTGTGGGGGTGGAACATCTGGTACCTGGCACAGCAGAAAAGCTGCTGAGCTGGCAGGTGGCTGCTGGAAAGGGACCTGAACTGTGCTTTCCTTGCCTGGAGTTCTGTCTCTCATCAGCTCCCGGTCCCCGCAGGTCTCGTGGGGGGGTAGAGCAGGAATCCAAGGGGTGAGGTTGTGCAGTGGCCCCGTTGCTCGGGCAGATGTGGCCTGTTTTCCCTCCACAAGGGTGAGGTCTCACCAGCATCCTTGATTTCCCCAGGATTTACTGCATCCTGGGAGCTGGTGTGCTCTGGGAAGGGCAGAGCTGTCCCCACAGCAGTGCCGTGGTCCCGCCCCGGGGCTCAGGAGGTGACTTGTTTTCACTGGAAAGACAAGAGGGAAGGACCTTGTTCCCTCCAGAGGTGGATGGAATGACATTTCTAGGAACTGCAAGGCAGGAAGTTCACTCATGGCATCACCAAGGAAGAAGGATCAGGTGACTCTTTGGTGACTCTTCAGGAGATGACACAGGGATTTTGGAAGTGGCAGCAAAAACTGATTAAAATTGGGGTTCCTCCACACGAGAACATCCAAGAAGGTTAATCCAAATGAAGGTATAAATCCAAATACGGCTTTAATTTGGTTTAACTTAATTCCTCTGTTTGCTTGTGTTCTGGAGGAAGGTGTCCACGCAGGGATTTAATTTCATCTAATAAAAGTACTTGGGTTCATATCCTTAATTAGTTTAGGGTGTGCACGTGGTCTCTTCTTCCACGAGCGTTTTCAAACGACCTGTAGCCAAGGAATTGGACACCAGGGAAGTGATGCCCGTGTAGGTACAGGGATGGTGTTGCTGAGAAGCCAAGACACCTGGAGTGCTGTGTCCAGTTCTGGCCCCTCAGCTCAGGAAGGACATGGAGGGGCTGGAGCAGGTCCAGAGGAGAGCAACGAGGCTGGGGAAGGGACTGGAGCACAAGTGCTGTGAGGAGAGGCTGAGGGAGCTGGGGGGGTTCAGCCTGGACAAGAGGAGGCTCAGGGGAGACCTCCTCACTCTCTGCAACTCCCTGACAGGAGGGGGGAGCCGGGGGGGGGTTGGTCTCTTTTCCCAGCCAACCATCAGCAAGACAAGAGGGCTGGGTCTGAAGCTGTGCCAGGGGAGGTTTAGGTTGGATATCAGGAAGAATTCCTTTGCAGAGAGGGTGCTCAACCATTGGAATGGGCTGCCCAGGGAAGGGGTGGATTCTCCATCCCTGGAGGTTTTTAAGATGAGACTGGATGTGGCATCAGTGCCATGGGCTGGGAACCACGGCGGGGTTGGATCAAGGGTTGGATTGATGATCTCAGAGGTCCCTTCCAACCCAACTGATTCCATGATTCTATGATTCCCTTCCCTATCTAAAAAGGGAAGCTGGAATGGAGCAATGTCTTTCCAGTATCCATCTCTTCCGTGGGATCCCTTGTGTGGAGCGTGGCAGGGAGTTCCAGTGATATTCCTACACTGGGGCTCACAGACAGGACAGCTGGGGAGCCTCAAAGTGCTGAATCTTGGGAAACACATCTCAACTTGGCCATTGCACAAACACTCCAAGCTTGACATCACCCAACTTCAAACCGGTTCATTTGCAGATTGAGGAATTTACAAAGTTCCACAATTAAAACTCGTCCTGATTTGTGCAGCAGGACTTTCGTTCCTGCCTCCTCACCCCACTTCCCTGCTTCTCACCACCTTTCTGTTCCACTTCACTTCCCAGAAGGACCAGCAGAAAACTTCACCAATCTATAATTTGCTGCGCAAGAACCACACGGGGGTTGTTGTTTTTTTCTTAAAAATGCCCAGATTTTTTTCGTGTTCCGCTGGAGTTCTCTGTTCCTCCCGGAGTTTTCTGGCCACGCTGCAGAGCACGGGGCGAACACGCAGAGCTGGCCAGGCTGGCCATGAGCAGCCTGCTGTGGAATGCAGTGTCGTGGCACTCAAGGAATCCACTGATCTCTGGACCAAGAGCAAGATGTTGTTTATTGTTGCTTTATAAAGGTTGTTTCGGGTCTATAAAACTCGTTCTCCGGCGCTGTCGGCTCCGAGCTTCGCTCGGCGTCATAAATGTCCTGGGTGTGAGGCACATCTGCTAAACGGGGTTGGAGGGGCTCTGGGCAGGCTCAGACCCTGTCTTGGGCTGGGTTTATCCATCTGGGCTCGAAGGATATTTTTTTTCCTGGTGAATTGATCCCTTTTTGTGTTGATATCAGCGGATCCTGGCTGAGATTCCTCACTGCCGGGCTGAAAACGCTGGGAAAGGTTTTGTGAGAGACGGTGATAAACTTCAGGGGTTTCGAGCTGTTTAACTCTTCTGCTGCTTAAGTCTAAATGTCTGCTTCTGTGGACCATTGGGGATTGATCCATTGGGAATCGATCCCTTGGAAATCCATGGGAGCGCTGGGACACAAACAGTCCAACACACCCCCCCTTTGAACTTGGGATCCTAAAGCTCTTCCTGGTGATTTTTTTTTTGTTTTTCCCCATGGAAATGTGTCTCCCATGTGTATATGGCAACATTTTCACTCCTAAATGATCCTTTGACCTCTTTGTAAATTCTTTTATCCCTTTGGAAAAAGGGCTTCGCAGTTGAGAGCCTGGTGGAGCACAACCTCTGTCTTGGAATGTTGGGTGGCATTTAGGAAACAAAACCTGCACGGCCCCAATTCCGCTGAAATTGGAAGGAAACAAAACTTAGCCTGGCTTGAATTGGGTCTGTTATTTCTTTCCCTGTAGGTAAAACCTCAGGTGAGGGCTGGAACTCAAAAGCCTTCGTGATCTCTAAAATCACAGCGAAGCAAAAAGGCTGAAATTGGGGCAGTTTGGAGCAGATTTGAGGGGGTTTTAGAGCTCACAGGAATATGACTTTTTAAATGTAAGCAAATAAATCTGGAGGAAGAGGCTGATTGTTGAAACAGGCAACGTAACAACAGTTTGCTTTTCCAGGCTTTCTCTTGGAAAAAATTTGCTTCGCGTCTCCTCGGGCCGAGATCTGTAACAAATTTTCCCTTCAAGTGTCCATTTTTTAACTCAAAACTTATACAAACACCAGAGAGAGACTCAGCTGGGCTGTTCTGTGCCCGAAATGTGGTGTTGGGAGGAATGAAGTGTCACCTCTGAGCTGTTCTGCACCAAAGGTCACCTCGATTTTATCCCTTTTCTAAGTATAAATCTCTTATCTCAGGAGTTTTTGTCTTTTCTTGCTCGGAATTCTCTGTATTTCCCTCAATTTGCCTTTAAAAAAACGTTATAAAGTAAGAAAAAAAAAAATACAGGTGGAAAAAATCAAGCTGAGCTGTTTTTCGGTGGTGAACGTCGGAGCTTTTACATTTCTCTGAGGTAATTTTTGGTTTTCCATTTGTTTGGTTTTTTTTTTTTTTTTTTAGGATGCTGTGACGTCCAAACCAGTCATCCAGTTTCAAGGAAGCCAAGGGGTAAGTTTGTGTACCTGGATTGCCTCGGGAAGTTCCACAGCTGATGGCAGGAATTTGTGCTGTTCCAGCTCAAGGAATGACGATGCTCCGACTGCGGAAAGGGGGAGGTCGAGAGGTCCAAGGAAAGCTTTTTCCCTGCCCTTTGTTTCCTTACCTTGCTAAATCCAGCTTTGGAAGGTGAAATCCAGCTTTGGAGGGCCGGGCTGGTGGGTAGGACAAGGAAAAGAGCACAGCAATCCATGGAAACCTCACCTGTATCCCAAGGGAACAACACCTGGTAGAGTCAGAGCAGGACTTTGCGGCTCCCACTTATTTCCAGCAGCAAAAATTCCGAGTTTTTGAAGCTTTATTTAACGTACCTGTGCCATTCCTGTGAGTACCAGCAGTTATTTTCTGGTTAGGAGTTTTATTTCTCCAACTTCTGCTCCGATGCCTGAACTCCAGGGTATTTATAGCCCCTGGAAAAGCTCCGTGGTGCCAGTTGCTGACAACGTTGAGATTTACGTGGTGGTGTTGCTGGTAAAGCCATGCAGCTCCTCAGTGAGCTTGAAAAATGTCATTTAAACACCTTTCATTTATAAAAAAACCCCCTCTCTCTGCGTTCAGCTTTAGGCTTTGCATAAAGAAGGGGAATTTTAATTTTTAAATATTTTTTTTTCTTTCCCCCCCCCAAGAATCTGAACTCAGCTGTGAACAGCTTCTCGTTTTTATTTTTATGCCACTGGCACGTTAAAACTTTCAGAAAGTTGCTTGAATTAAGCAGACACTAAATCCAGCACGTTGGCCTTGCCCACATACTGCTTTGTGACATTATTCTCACTAAGAGCACACAGAGAATACAGCAGGAAAGACATGATTGTTATTGTAAGTTCAGAAGAAAAATACAGAGCTCCTCGGCCTGGGAAATACAGAAAGGAGCAATTTCCAGGTTTGGTTTTTCAGTTGTTTTTTTTTTTTTTTACTTTGTTTAGAATTAAACTTCCCCGAAAGTCGAGATCAAAATCAAAAGCGAGTGGGGGGAAAATTTTTTTAAGGGCGTGTGGATTTGTCTTTATTAGAAGAAAAACAGCTTTGCACATCCTAAAGAATAAAAGACTGGGAATGCTTTCCCTTTGGAGAGCACCTCATGAGGATCTGCCCCTGATTCTTCCTGTAAAGCTGCTTAAGTTTTGGAAATGCCTCCCCTTGATATATTTATTTTTTTTTAACTTGAGAAGTAGCAAAAGGAAGGGGAGAACAGCTTTAAAACACTCCCCTGCCCTGAGGCTCTTTGGGTTCCCAGGTGGATCAGAGGTGGACAAGGCTTAACAAAAAAAACCCCACTGTTTGAAAAGGCTGTGGCTTCTTATTGTAATTCAGAATATTTTCAAATTATGTGTGATATTTTCAAATAATATTTTCAGATGATGTGGTCCTCGCAAAAAATCAATGTTTATTGTATTGGAGCCCTTAACTTCCAGAGAGGAAGCCCTGAACTTCCAGAGCTGCCAGTTACCTGTGTGAGCCCCTGGAAAAGGGGCTGGGAGGAGGATGTGGCACCCAGGGCTGACCTCAGCTCGTTAATTAATCGCCCTGACGAGTTAAAGGCCAAAGGTAGAGCTTTGAAGGGAGCAGGATCCAGCTTCGTGGGAGCAGAGGGAGAAAAAAGAGCTTTGTCCCTTCAGGATTATTTTTCCTGGGTCTGACAAGGAGCTGGCAGCTGGGGAACCATCTGCTTTTAAGGGTAGGACTCTCAGGATTCTCCTGCTTTAAGGAACTGAGGCTTGAAATGCTTTCGAGGGATCCTCCATCAACTGGACTCCCGAGAGAATTCCAGGAATTTCACAGGCTCTCAGATCCAGATGATGGCATTAAAACATATTTTGTTTAGCTGCTTATTTTTTAAATCATTTCCTCCACTATTCCTTAGTTCCCCCATTTGTTGCCTTCCTGTTTGGCTTCCCAAAAAAAACGTGGCTCTGGGGGAATCCCGTTACCTTTTGTACGTGGGATTTCAGAGCTGTGGTGTGGGATTTTAGTAATTATGAGGTTTTAATAGTGGGAATTTTCTGTGCAAACATCCCCCTCACAAGAAGGGAAAGCTTTACTTGATGATTAGGGGAGGCAGGACATAAAATAAGAATGTTTTTTATATATATATATATTTATTTTTATATTTATATGATATTTACTTATATTATTTTATAATATTATTTATATATTATATAATATAAATATTATATAATATATAAATCATAATATATATTATTTTTATATTTATTTTTATATATTTTATATATATTATATTTATATATTTATATATATTATTTATATATAATTATTATATATAATATATAAATTATATAATAATATATTATATAATATA